AGAGAGAGAGAGAGAGAGAGTTAAAGAGAGAGAGAGAGAGAGTTAAAGAGAAGAGAAGAGAGAGTTAAAGAGAAGAGAAGAGAGAGACAGAGAGACAGAGACAAACAGACAGACAGTGAGAGAGAAAGAGAGAGGGGGGGCGGGGCAAGACGAACCGCTAAAGAAGACGTTTTCCAAACTGCTTTGTCCTTTCCCTAGTTCCTCGCAGTTTTGGCTTCCTCTTTGACTGCAGTTCTCCTCGACAGCCTGTGTGGAATGGGCAAAACGTCAGGTTTAATTTGTCAAAAAAAAAGAGAGAAAAACATTCCATCTTCCTCAATTTATACATATTGGAGGGGTCAAGTTCAGCTATCATACTTATCGACAGGCAATGGAAATGGCTGTCTTGGCCTACCCTTGAACAATGGGGAAACCAAATGGTGAAATGAATCAGCTAAAATGTGGAAAGCATAATAAACTATAGCATTTCGAGTCCAACTAGATCCACGAGTTCAACAAGAGACACTGATTAATAATTTTCACACTGCAGACGCTTTATTGAATCTATAAATACACGTTGCCGTGTATGCCATTTTTGTTTCCATAAGAAACCAGTCTGACGTAGACGCAAACTTCTCCATACGCCTCGCAAAGCACCCATATCCCCCTTTACAACATGAACGATGTCCCCGTGCCTGAAACTGCGACAAACTCACATTTGAGGCGTGTTCTTCGGAAATGTTCTCCACGCCCTTGGAGTGAGGATGCGGGTCACACTTCACGAAGGCCGTGATGCTGCCGCTGGAGATTTGGCTCCTCATTCCACGGGAAGCCTCCTCGCCGCCCCCTTTCCCATGGGACACCACAGCCAGGCTCCTTGCGGGGGATAACAGGCTGTTGCTGTGTATCTCGGCGTGGGAAGACCTGTGGTGCCGCCTCCTGGAGCAGCTGGAGGAGAGTGAGGCCAGCACCTTTGCCTTCGCTGGCAAGGGAGACGGCGTTAGCTTCCGGTAGAGCAAAGGTCGGTGGCACTTCGCGTCGCCGCCGGCGCTGCCCGCGGCCCTGCTCTCCGCCGACGCCACGGAGCCGTCCAGGGCGTTAAAGGAAATGTAGGTTGGACTGGCTGTATTCAGGGTGGGGTACAGGTGGCCCGTCGAGGCTTCTCGCGGAGGCTTCTGACTCGCGGGACAGGAGGCTGAGCCCTGGCATGGAGAAACGCACGCCTGGCACATAGAGGTCGTATGAGAACAACTATTTGACAATGTGACGTTGGCCAAAGGGCGGCTTCCTCTGGGCGTGTCACCTGCCGACAAGGAGTGACCTCAAGAAGATAATGAAAAACTACGATACTATTCTATGATGATTAAATATCACGACGACTACGTAAATATATATCTAAAATGTATTTGATAACATGCACCACACATACACAGGCACGCGCGAGCACGCACGCCCGCACATACACGCCACAAACCGACTTACATGCA